TGGTTCGTTGTTTGGTTTATATGTTGGTTGGTTGTCTGGATGGTTGGTTGATTGGTTGGTTGGTTGTTCGATTTCTTGTTTGATGGGTTGGTTGTTTGGTTGATTCCTTGGTTGGTTCGTTTGTTGGTTGATTCGTTATTGGTTGTCTGTTAGTTTCGTTGGTCGGTTGGTTGGTTCTTTGGTTGGTTAATTCGTTGTTTGTTTGATATTTGGTTTGCCGGTGCTTTGGTTAATTGATTGGGTGGTTGATTGCGTAGGTGGTTAGTTGGTTAGTTGGTTGGTTGATTGGTTTGTTGGTTGATCCGTTCGTTATGTGGCTGGATGGTTGGTTGGTTGGATGGTTGAGTGAGTGGTTGGTTGGTTGGTTCATTCGTTGTTTGGTTGTGTGATTTGTTGGATGGCTGTTTCTTTGGTTGCATGATTCGTTGGTTGATTGGCTGATTGTTTGGTTGGTTGGTTGGTTCGTTGTTTGGTTTATATGTTGGTTGGTTGTCTGGATGGTTGGTTGGTTGGTTGGTTGGTTGTTCGATTTCTTGTTTGATGGGTTGGTTGTTTGGTTGATTCCTTGGTTGGTTGGTTGGTTGTTTATTTGGTTGGTTGATTCTTTGTTTGATTGGCTGCATGATTGGTTGATTGGTTGTTTGTTTTTTTGGTTGAGTTTTTGTTTCGTTGGTTGGATGGTTTGCTGGTTCGTTGGTTGGTTGGTTGTTTGGTTGGTTGGTTGGTTGGTTGGTTGGTTGGCTGGTTGGTTGGTTGGTTGGTTGGTTGGTTGGTTGGTTGGTTGGTTGGTTGGTTGGTTGGTTGGTTCGTTGGCTGGTTGGTTGTTTGATTACTTGGTTGTTTGTTTGATTGGTTGGTTGATTCGTTCGTTGCTTGTTTGGTTGGTCGATTCGTAGGTTGGTGGGTTGTTTGTTTGGTTGGTTGGTTGTTTGTTTGTTTGGTTGGTTGGTTGCTTGGTTCGTTGTTTCTTTGATATTTGGTTTGCCGGTTCTTTGGTTAGTTGATTGGGTGGTTGATTTCTTAGGTGGTTGGTTGGTTAGTTGGTTGGTTGATTGGTTTGTTGGTTGATTCGTTCGTTATGTGGCTGGATGGTTGGTTGATTGGGTGGTTGAGTGAGTGGTTGGTTGGTTGATTCATTCGTTGTTTGGTTGTTTGATAGGTTGGGTGGTTGTTTGTTTGTTTGTTTGATTGGTTGGTTGATTGGCTGGTTGGTTGGTTGTTTGGTTGGTTGTTTGGTTCACTGGGTGGTTGTTTGCTTGGTTGATTCGTTAGTTGGTTGTTTGGATCTTTGTGTTTTTGGTTAGTTGGTTGGTTTGTTGGTTAATTCGTTGTTATTTTTTTGGTTGGTTTCTTGGTTGGTTGTTTCAGTGAGTGGTTGGTTGGATGGTTGATTCCTTGGTTGGCTGTTTGAGTGTTTGGCTGGCTGTTTGTCTCGTGGAATGGTTGGTTGTTTTTTTGGTTGGTTGATTGGTTGGTTGGTTGGCTTCTTGGATGGTTGTTTATTTGGCTGTTGGTGTGGTTGGTTGGTTGGTTGGTTCGTTGGTTCATTAGTTGGCTGGTTGGATGTTTGGTTGGTTGGGTGTTTCTTTGAACCGTTGGTTGTTTGGCCTAATAATTGGTTGGTTTGGTGGTTGCTTGTGGGTGTGGTTGCATCGTTGATTGATTGTTTCTTTAGTGAGTTCGTTGTTTGATTGGTTGGTTGTTTGTTTGGTTGGTTGGTTATTTGGATGATTGGTTGGTTGGTTGGTTGGCTGTTTGGTTGTTTGGTTGGTTGGTTGGTTGGTTGGTTGGTTGGTTGGTTGGTTGGTTCCTTGTTTGGTTGGTTGGTTGATAGGTTCGTTGATTGCTCGGTTGCTTCGATGTTGGTTGGTTCGTTGATTGTTTGCTTGGTTCGTTGGTTGTTTGGATGTTTGGTTGGTTTGTTGGTTGGTTGTTTGGTTTATATGTTGGTTGGTTGTCTGGATGGTTGGTTGGTTGGTTGGTTGTTTGGTTGCTTGCTTGCTTGCTTGGTTCGTTGGTTGGTTGTTGGTTGTTTGGTTTGTTGTTTGGTTGTCTGGATGGTTGGTTGGTTGGTTGGTTGAATGGTTGGTTGGTTGGTTGGTTGTTTTGATTGTTTGGTTGTTTTGTTGATTCGTTGGTTGGTATGTTTGTCGTTTCTTTGTTTGTTTTTTCTGTTGGTTGTCTGGTATGTTGGTTTGTTGGTTTGTTGATTGGTTGTGTGTGTGGGTTGGTGGGTCGTTAGTTGCTCAACTCATTCTTTGGTTGTTTGATTGGTTGGTAGGTTGGTTGGTTAGTTGGTTGGTTGGTTGGTTGGTTGTTCTATTCGTTGTTCTTTCTCCGCTGTAGTTCGTTTCTGTTTACTGTAGTTGAAGAGCAACTAATCACACACTTCATATTGTTTTATCACCCACATAACAAAATGATTGAATGATTGTTCGTAATATATCAGTGCACAAACAACCCTTCGAAAGTTTCATTTGGTGATACAGCTTTTGCGGTTATAACTATCCGTCTTGGTAAGTCACAAATCAATAGGCAATGAACAGTGTTTTGCACCTAGAACTGGCTGCAAAATCGTGATTAGAGGACACATACGTGGAGAATCTTCTAATGTAACTCTCGGGGTATATAAAGTGGTCGAAACTGTTCAGGAGCGATGAAGTGCAGTTCATCCATTTAGTGTCATTCAGTGTTTTTCAACCAACGACCAAACGACAACCACAGAAAGACAATTAACAGATGAGTAACTTGGATTACGCGAGAAACCCCGGGAGGCACGTATGATGACTAGCGTTGAACTGCATTGTTGGCAAATGACAATACGCATTGTTCTTCCGAGCCACGAGCAGGCATTACGCGTGTGTACTGCTGGACATCATTCAGACTCTTGAATGACTGAACCGGCTTGTTTGGTTCCATGCTCATGTTTGCTGCTCGCATAGCACCAGGCAAGGCAAGGATAAATTCATCACGGTTAGTTCTTGGCACATACTTTGTGTTTTGCCTTGTCACAGAGCTCTTTGTGATTAGGCTCATAATCTCTCATCTTCTATGGTCACGTAAGATTCAAACTGGAGACCAGTTTCAAACTATCCGCCTTGATGGTTTTCAATAAAAACCGGTCAAATTTCAGCCTTTTCTATTTAGTTGGTATACTTCCTCATTCTTTGGAGCGCGAGATGCCACAAATTTGAAACTCTGGACCGAACAGCCCCAAATGCGTGTTCAAACAAACTATTGATTAGGCCGCAGTATCCATGGCACAATCAACACAAGCACACACACGCACGCACAAACGGGAATACGTACACATTTTTGTCCAATCTCTGATGGCCCATTCAAACTCGTCATGTTGGTTGAAAACAACCAGGTGCAATCGTGTCACAGGTGCTGGTCGACAGTTTGTTCGTTCTGTCGTCGTGCCTGGACATGTCTAATGCAATTGTATTATAAAAATGAAACCTTTAGGCACACGCACTCACACACATACACAGTTGCCATAAATCTTGTTCTAGACTGCTATTCAGCTGTGGAAGAGAAATTGGAGAAACTATTTCTGAGGGGTACACAATGTTGAACTGAGGTACGGGCTGCAAGCACAAACAATACAAAGATAAGCATGCGGTTAGGTGGTTGGCCAGTGAAAATGACGGCCATTCCAACCCAAACAACCACCGAGCGGCTATTTTGATAGTTATTATCCATTCCTGGGGTTTTCTGACTATCCGTAAACGGGTATATATATATATATATATGTATATATATATATATGCATATATATATTACAACTAATCTTTATAATCCATTAATCCCACTGAACCGCGGTCATAATCTGGGCGTTTGAAGATGCTGTCTAAACCATTCCTAATCCAACTTGGTCGTGGAACAGAAGAGTGAATGATTTGATCAGACTGAGGATTCTGCATGAGAGTAAAATCACCGTTTTCGTTTGCCCGGAGATTCACAAAGACGAGTTTAATCATAGTATTATAATTCGGACCATAAGTATTATTTACAATTTCCGGTGAACAATGGATGATGCTGGTTGGTATCTGATCTCTGCATAAACCTAAAGAATCGTTTTTCAAGACGTCGTACATAGAAAATCCTACAGGTATTGACCTAACTCGTGCAAAATGACCCTCAATGTAGAAATACATTTCAGTTTACAATGTCATATTTACACATCGATAGCTGTGAGTAAAGAGCATTCATTTCTAGCTTTAACTCCCCCTGAATTGTCCTTAATTCTTTTGTATCACTGTTTGAATTGGTGTGACCTTGAGTGTCACGATCGAATAGTTCGAAAGTTACAGCTTACTACTAGAAAATATTTGGTACATGACAGCCTGGAAGTCTTTGCTTTCTAGTAAATTATTATTATTTCATAAGGGTGTTTATTCTGGTCAATACAAGTATTCTCAATGGCGTATCTTCTTCCGTACGTTGCCAAGTAAATATGCCAAAACATGCCTATGAGTCAATCTGTAAATAAATTACTATTTTTCCCCTGAGATTTTGCTATCCTATAACTGAAGCGCCTGTAAGGAGTGTCGAAATCTAGAAATGGTATATTTAAATGGCATTCGACTACTAGAATCAGTAACATGAGTGAATGCTGTCACATATATGTCGTGTTTGATGTGGGGTTATGTCACATCTGTCCACTTGAATGAGGCTCAAAACGCTAGGTGTCAGGAGGAAAAGTCAGGGTATCGCACGAGTTTAATCAATACCTGTAGTTCCGCTACTGGCTATTCGCAGTGCTATCAATTTGTAATGGATGAGGTGCACTATTTAAACATTAAGTGGTTTCCTTTCGGACGACCGTGGTGGGATAATGAAGCCTGTCAACACACCTCCCTGCAGTTCGAGTGTTCGATCTTCGCCAACACCATTCTATTTTCCACTTGTTGAGCCGAGGGTTACTAAGAGGGTACTTTTTGTAATCTTAACTGTGGAAGTTAAATCGAATCAGTATTATAATCATTCTATTTTTGTCTTCATAATCATCATTAAAATGAAGTCTTTTGTTTAACAAATGATCAACTGCTGTCAAAACTTTATATCATAGGTTGCCTACTAGACTGACCTGTCCGCATCTACAAGCGGTACCCGAAATGAAGCAGTCAATATAATTAGCTGCACTTATTTATAGATTCCCATTATCTAAACTATCAGTCTCTTAGCGTAACAACCCCAATCATGGATCAATCGGGACTTACCTTGCCATCCAACGTGTCAAACCATCTAAGACCTTGAGCGATCAAAGTAAAGGTCCCCTGCACCTAGTAATTATGCCTCCCCTATTTATAAAGCTCAAAACGTTCTGATCGAATGGGATTGCATGCTGGCTGTTGGAATGCGTCTGTATGCTGTGTAACGGCACTGAAACCGAAATGGTCGGATATGTGTTCAGTACTAAACATTGTCTTACCTCCCCTATTCTCTTCAGACGTACAATGGTTGAATGTAGCGAACAACGAACAAACAGGAGAGCCCGGAAATACACGAGAACTCATCATCGATACGAACCTTGCGTGCCCTCCCCCTTACCAGATGCAGTTTGTACATTCTTTTTTCCATTCCTTCCGAGCTACAATATACGTGCGTGCGCGACAGTCGTGCTATCTCTTTGTGAGCGTGTCTGACAGTGAGAGGTACGATCGAGTGTTGGTGGTAACGAGTGTCTCCCACTGCCAATTCAAGCGTTCCCGCGGGTTTCCATACGTACTGCGTAATTTCTGTACCCACGTCACAGCTGCTGAGTGGACATATTAATACTAAGAATAAAATCGGAAGGCGAAGGCCAAGCAACCATGTAGAACACCCGAAATGTCCAAATCCCTGATAGCGAAAGAACGGTGAGTTTAACACCTTTTGGGGATAATTGATAGCGATGCCGACGATCAGATGTATTGCGGTATACTCTTGTAAATAAACCTCACTGCTTTGCCATCTTTCAAATGAAATCAGAATGGAAAACCTGATTACTGAAGTACGTGGACAATTGAGTCGGAAGTAACCACCCCATGACCGAACGGTTTTCAAACTAAGGTCTTCAACGGTAGGATGGTTTTATCAAAACTGTATCCTGAAGTGCAGGCAGAGCAGCTTTGACATGCACTTTGAATGAATTTCACCCTATGAGAAAATGCGGACTAAAGTTGACCTGTTATTGTAGCTTTACATTTATATCTTTCCTTTTTGATCCGCATCAAGTTCAGTTTTCATTGGGTGAAAGTAAGACTGAAAAGTTAAGTTAAATGGTTTTCTCAGCTCACTGACAGGCGTCAAGGTGGATGGTTCCAAAAATTGCCCAGTTGGCTTTATCAATATTTGTCCCGTAAAGATATATTCGACAAATAACGACTAACATGGACAAGCACGCTGCTGACAGAATGGGAAAATGATCTTTACGAGGTTTACAAACGATAAATTGAAGTCATGCAAAACTCTTGTGGTCGGTGAATTGTGGTCGTCACCAGTTTAGGTATCGTTCTTTACGCAACAGACCCCGAAGTTTAAAGCAATCCTAGTGCCCCGATTTTTTTTAACGTCCCTTAGCTCAATTAAATTGTTTAACATTTGGTAAAGATAGTGCAGTAATGCATTCATTTTTTTGTAGTTGAAAGAAGTATTCAACACTTAACCAAGGAATCAGCTACCAATGTTTACCAGTTGCCTGTTGTTTACACACGTCGCGTTTCTGCTACTTATATATCTCATGTTTAGTAAATACAAGACAACTGATAAGATCTTAGCTTTTTGACAAACTGAGTTGCATTCATGCATCCGACCTACACACCACCCGACCCACCACATTCTCTTCTGCTGCCTCACACACACACACACACACTGCTTCTCCTTTTTTGATTGACG